AATTCTGGGTCCTCTGTTCTGAGTCTTGACAAAGAGAAATAAATCTTACAACACAAATGAACACAACACAGGAATAAGAAACTAATGAGGCGAAAATAATGTGAATATAAATGACAATAAAGGAGACAATGAACATGTGAACAAAAAAGAATATCAAAATTCAAACACCTGTAGAGCATCATAGGACCAAGTGTTGTTAGAAAAATGTATATGTTATCATTTTATTTTAAGTTACAGGCATTTGGCCAGCTAGGATTGTTCTGTTGAACAAATGCCAGGTGTGGTTGCAGCTGGTCATCACCTGCCATAAAACTGCACAAGGAACTGTCATGCTCTATCATGTGTAAACCTCTGACCCCTCCTGACAACTTCTGACCCCTTCTGTTATTCCTTTGAAGTCCGATAATTAAAGCAGCAGAAAAGAGAGGTTCTGGCAGAGTTGACCACAGACATTTCAGGGAGTGAGAATTCTCTGTCTGTATCTTCTCTCCTTTCCTGCAGAAAAGTAACTTGTGTGTTGTGTTGGTCTCATTTTTAGGAAAATATGGGGTTATTATTATTTAACCCTATCAAGTGTAGGTAGAACTGACTTTAGAAAGTAAATTAAGGACTTAGACCCAAATGACACCAAATCAGGCGTATTTTCCCTACATGAAGAGGAAATATTACTCAGTCTTGTGAACCAGTCACTCATCATTCCACAAACAACTTAGAGTGCAATACCCTTTGTTAAAAAACCACCATTTGGAAAAAAACAAGATGAAAACCTTATGTCATTTAATTATGTAAAATCAGCTTTGTTAGCATTATCGGACATCCATTAACTACGCCCTACAGAGGCATGGCTAGAACAATTGATGTTGTCAGAACAATAGATTACAAGTCTCTGGCAATCTTTGAAGATGTAGTAAAAGAAAAAAATAGAATCCATAATACTAAGTGTTTCTTTTTTCTAACACTTTTGTCTCTGTACTACTATCATTTGTTTAACTAACTTTTTAAATTGGTTGAATTTTGTTCCTATTAGAGTTCTTTAGAAGACTCTTCAGCTGCTATTGAGGGTTTCCTGTGTTTTGCTTTAGTATCCACCTCTACAAACCTCCACTGATTCTCCTTACAGGGACTTTAGCTGGAGTTGGTGTTTCCATGGTAACTTCTATGTTTGGGAAGGTGACAAACAGATCTGCTTTAAAGGGAGGCAAGTTTCAATCACCAGCTCAGAGCAATTTCAGCGCTTCCATCAGACAGGAGACTGACTTCATGCTCACATGTAGAGTAGTGGTTGTTAGATGTTATTATACAATCTCTGTTGGTAATGCTTCTGATTAGATGTTTTTATTTTTTGATGCTGTCACTACTTGAGAATTTTCTGCATGATTTGGAGGTATATCATTGGCATGTATTTTGTATTAAAAGATAAAATCAAATGTCAAATGTTCTGCACAATTTAATTTTAAGATGCTAGAATTTATAGAATTTACAACTGAGGAAACTGTTCTGATTTACAGAGCTGTCCTGCTTTGGATGGAGAACCAAACAACTCCTCTCAAACAGCCGATTGTTTTTGAGCTTGAGGGCATTAATGTACAGCCAGGCACTGGAACCTTCTTGTTTCTGCTGGCTTTGCTTGCCTACATAGTGGTGCTGCTGGGGAACGGTGTGGTGATCTGTGTTATTATGACAGACAGGAACCTGCACAGACCCATGTTTGTCATTATCTGTCACCTGATGGTCTGTGATCTGCTGGGGGCCACAATGGTGCTTCCTCGTCTCATGATGAATTTGTTGATGGGGATAAAGAAGATTGCCTACATCCCAGCCATCGCTCAAGCCTTTTGTGCTCACACATACGGTGCAGCAATGCTGACTATTTTAAGTGTGATGGCCTATGACAGGTAAGGAAGGTGTGAAAACAGAAGAGTTTATGCAGACATGCTTTTGATTTCAGGAGGTGTTGTCTGTGGGTTTTTAGCGTGGAATCATAAATAATTCAAGACTTTGTAGTACACTCCTACAATGGACCCTTTTTGTAAGAAGGTTGAATTATCACTAATTATGTATGTGTTTAATTCTTACAGTCAGGCCATGTTTGTGTACTGAAAGCAAAGTCTAATTATGTATTTCTAGAGCAACATTTATTCTTCTCAGTGCATTATGGTTCATTTGTAGCTCACAGGCAGGTATGTGCAATGGATAATGTATAGATTTCTAACATAACCTTTAAGGGAACCAATGGGAGAAGTAAAACACACTGTGTTAAGAAGAACTGATAACTTATAAGGGAAGGATAAGTATTTTAAGAGTATAGCATTAAGAACTGTTTTTCTCCGATGGTTCCGTCTCTCTGCAGGTATATTGCAGTGTGTGAGCCTCTGAGGTATCTCTCCATCATGACATCAGCTCGACTGCACTGCTGCTGCACTCTGGCCTGGATTGTTGCCCTGTTGCTTATTTCTGTGCTCTTCTCCTTCCACATGAACGTCCCGCTGTGTGGCAGAACGATCAATCAACTGTATTGTAGCAACCGGGATATCTTAAACCTGGCCTGCATTCCCACTCCCATCAGTGACATCTACGGTCAGTACATGTCTTATTTATATGAGGAACAATACATCGTAATTATCATTCATCATATTTGACCCCTGATTAACATTTTCTGTGTCTTTCAGGTTTAGCCATGACCTGGTCTTTAAGTACAGTGACCTTTATTCTCATCGCTTTTTCCTACATCAGAATCCTAAGTGTTGCCATAAAACAAGGAAGAACAGACACCAGCCTCCGTATCAAAGCCTTTCAGACCTGTGCTCCACACATTGTTGTATACGTGCTCTTTCAAATCGCTTCATTGATTGTGATTGTGAGTTACCGTTTCCCCTCCCTTTCCCAAAATATTAAGAAGTTCTTCAGCATCCTCATCTTCATCATTCCCCCAATCATGAACCCCATCGTCTACGGACTGGTCAGTAAAGACTTGAGGGTCAGCTTCATCAAACATTTCTCTAATCGATTGACAACATTACCTAGTCGTGCTGTAGCTGGTGTTATTAGATAGTTTAAGTCNAAAGACTTGAGGGTCAGCTTCATCAAACATTTCTCTAATCGATTGACAACATTACCTAGTCGTGCTGTAGCTGGTGTTATTAGATAGTTTAAGTCCAGTGGTGGAACTGAAGCTTGTCGTAGATGCTGAAGGCAGTTTATAAAGCTCATGTTTAAACACTACATAGTTCAGTTGGTATCCGTGAAACTAGGATCTACAGACACTTGGTTGAAGCTATTTCAGAACTGGACAGCTGAATCCAGGACTGTTAAAGAGCTATGACATTAAAAAAAATTGTCATCACTGTCTTTTTGTAGTTTGTAGTTTGTTTCATTTGTGTGTACTTCACAGTCAAATTCCACATTTGACTTCCCCATAGATTCTTGGATAGTTTCCTTGTACCTTGTCCTTAGATTGATGAATCCCTGCCCCTTTTTATCATCAAATTCTGAAACCTCAGGTCCAGAATTGAGAATCATATAAATAATGATAGCATTCATTGTTCAAATGTACACTCAGAACATTCAGCCAAATAACTCAAAGATACAGAAACAGATTGAAGCATAAACATTTTCTATTCATTCAAATTTCTAACTCAGATGAATTGATCAAATCATTTTTTAATGATGTTCAGTTTTCTTTAAGACCCTTCATGACATTGATCGCCACGGAGACCCACAGCTTTGAACCAGCTGTTCAGTCAGACTGAAAAGCAGTAAATATACCGGATGCGTCACTGTTCATAAGCGCAGTAAAGCAGCATATGCTGGTATGTTTGAAAACTGAAATTTACACCGGATGCTGAAGAGAATGCTCCACAGCATCTGGTTCAGCACTGGGGCTCTAAGCAAAGATGAACTTTTGTGACATGGGTGAATAAATTAAATAGTACTATGTGTGAAAGTTATGAACTTCTAAGTGATAAATGATCACCTGAAAATCAGCATCTTGACCAATCTGATGAGAAATCAAATATGTATTTTCTTAGCATGTCACAACTACCAACATCTGCTGGTTGAGTGTTAATAACTTTAAGAATTGGGCATTATCTTGTAGAAAAAGCACCAATTGGAAGAACCTGGCCTGAAGTAAACTGTGAAACTGGATGTTTTGTTTTTTGTTGGTTCCTAACCCAAACTGGCGAGTATTCATGTTTTCAGGAACATCGTTCCGTACCTACGCGGATAATATGGCCATTCAATGAGCATATTATGTTTCTGGTGTAAATAATTTTACTTTTTAAAATGGAAAACTGCCAGGCGCTTTGCTTATGCAAATCATGTTCGCTATCCGATTTGGTGCACTTATGTGCAGTAATGTGCCCGGTGTATTGAAACTTTTAAGACTCAGCTGCTTCTGTTTGTCCTAATTAAATAATATATATTTTTTTTTATCAGGGATTGTTGTTGTTAAACTATTACAATGTAGTCCTAAATTTGTATTACAGGATAAGATGCAGTGATATTACATTAAAAATAGTCCTCTCGCTATTTAGGTCTTTGTCTTTTTGTTCTTACAAACACTTTTAGGCCACCTGTTTTCTTATGCCTTTAGTGTTTAATTGGGATTTTGTAAAGGAAAGCTTAATGAAGTAAAACTCCATAGAAAGTTTTTGCACCACTTAGGATGCTAACATTTTTGCATCCCAGAGTGTCACGGGTTCGTTTCAAAAATACAAAATGATGGCCCAGCCGAAAAAACATCGTTTCTGCTTTTTTCTTTTATTGCTCCCCAGGTGGAAAT